TATCAACTATGCACACATGAATTATCATAAAAGAAAAATGAAAATTAAAACATTTTAATATTTAAAATGTCAAGATTTTTTAAAATTATTTAAATTTTATTAATAAATTTTTTTTATTAATTTATTAAGTGTATTTAAATAATTTTAAATGAAAGCTGGCATTTTAATTGCTAAAAGCCTGTTGATTTTCTGCAATATCTTACTATTATTATTATTTATTTTTCCTAATTTTGGAATTATAAGCTACTGGGCTCGGTATGGGCTGCGGCCTGCGGGCTTACAAACCGGACCGAATAATTCCGAATTCTTTGGGTTGACTAAAAGTAAAACCAAGGCTTTGCTGAGCTCAAATTACAATTTACAATCCCTAAAAGAAAAATTTTAAAACCCAGTAAGCAGATTAAAACCTCAAAATCGCCATAGCTGAGAGCTCAGGGGAAGGGGAAGGACCGAGGGAGGAGTGTCACAGGCAAGTTTCACACTCTGCTCCTACTTTTTTTTTTCTTCTTTGAGTTCTCTCCATCTCGTGTAAACCTGATTGAAGCAGAAGAAATGGCACGAAGTATCTGCAGAACCCTAATCGCATTCTCCCTCAATAACACTGCAATTCTCCACAAACCCCCCATCTCTAATTCCATCTCTGTTCTTCTCTTCTCTTCGTCTACACCCAAGAAATCGAAACCCGCCATTCCCGTTGTCGATTACTTGACCAAGCAACACCAGTTTTCACTGGAAGCTGCGTCGGAAGCCGCATTGTTCATACCATATATAAACAACCCTGAAAAATCTGATTCCATACTCTCATTTCTCAAAGAAAATGGTTTCTCCAAATCCCATATCGATGAAATTCTCAAGAAGGGACCCTATGTTCTCTGTTCCAAACTAAACGAAACTATCAAGCCTAAGCTCAAGATTCTCCAGGACCTTGGATTTTCCCAAAATGAAATTGCTGATATATTGGCTGCTAATCCTTGGATCTTTACGAGAAGCTTGGATTGTAGACTTGCACCTTCCATTTCGGTGTTAAGAAGTGTTCTAGGACCAAGTGCTGATGTTTGTAAGGCGTTAAAGGTTTCTGCTTGGTATTTGAAGTATGATTTGGAGAAGACAATGATTCCCAATATAGAGTTTCTTCAGAGTTGTGGGGTTAGTTCGCAACAAATTATTGGTTCTGTTTACACCTTCCCTAGGCTTTTATTGCATAAGCCTGAGAACTTAAGGGACTTTGTTAAGAGGGTTGATGAAATGGGAGTTAGTAGGAAGTCCAAGATGTATTTTTATGCTGTTCGAACACTGAGTTCAATGAACAGGGAGAAATGGGAAAACAAACTGAAGCTTTTTAGGAACTTGGGATTTTCAGGGGATCAAGTCTTGTCTCTGTTTAGAAGGGCGCCTCATGCTTTTGCTGTATCTGAGACAAAGATTAAGGAGGTTTGTGAGATGTTCCTTGCAAGAAAGAACTTAGATGCTTCATTTATATTTGAGCATCCAGAGTTGCTGATTCATAGTGTAAAGGGAAGGCTAGAACCCCGTTTTGCAGTTTTTGAGATTCTGGAAAGGAAGAATTTGCTTAGAAGAAAGCCTAAATTAACTACACTTCTCAAGATTTCGCAACAACAGTTCATGGCCAGATATGTTCTTCCCTATTCAAATGAGCTTGGAGATGTATCTATGTTATTGAGGACTTGAAGTGGGTGATTCACATGTAATCCATTTCAAGCCTCCAGGGTGAAGTTGCTGAGTGGATCAATTTTACATTTTTAATGTTCCTGGCAATTTATGAATTCTTTGCATGAGTTTCTCTCATTGAACGGCTAGTTCCTCCTCCCTTGCTATGCTTTTCTTTTATCATATTAAGATGAGTGGTGTTTAAATAGCTAGACATTCCAGTGCCACATTTTTCTTTCAAATTTAAGGTCTAATGTAGATAAGCGATTCAACTATTGCTCTCCCTTTTTTTTTTTTTTTTTGGATTGTACAATACAAGACAACCCTATCCTATCTTGAACTCATGACTTTTTTACCTCAATTGAAAGAAGATTATCACTAACAAAGTTGGCATCACTTATGTTTGTACTAAATATTCATGATCATCAAATGCCCAATATGTTTGTATTTGGAATTGAGGTTCCTAGTTTTAGTGGATGAGATTCTTGATTTTGAAAAGCCCATTTGTTTGTCAATCATAATAAAATAATTGAAAATAATATAATTATAATATCACATGATATTGTAAAATTAGGAATGCAAATGACATATCACACTTATTTATTGAAATGATATGCTATTATACATTACTACCATTTGTGACTATAATTGTTATCCCTAAAATCCTATTGAGCACACCTAACGACAGAAATTACAATAAAGACAGAAATTGCAATAAAGATATGCCACCTATTTTTGCAAGAAAACCAAGAAAAGGATTTGCCATGACCCTCTCTTTCCACTCAAATTTTCCTTGTGAAAAGGCTGTTGGAAGAACGTTGCTTAAAATGTAGTGCACCCAAATCAAACAAATGGTAGAAATGAGGAATTAATTCTTGTACAATGAGCTCAAACTTGCCTTAAAAGCACACCATGGACTTGGATTAAGGTAAACGAGAATCAAGAAAAATTAAGTTAAAGTACTAATAATGAAATAAGTTAAGGACAAGTGTTAAAAATTAATTAAATAAAGTATCAAAAATATAGTTAAACATAAACTAAAACTACAGGCATTAATCTAGTAGAAATTTGGAAAACGTAGTAAAAAAGTAAAAGAATCTAAATTTAACTGAAATTGTAGACATGTTTGAATTAAAATCAAATTGAATGTTTAACAATTGAGAAATTTAGTAAAAGCAAACCAAAATAATAAAAAAAAAATTACATAAACTAATCTTATCCAAAAAAAACTAAATCAAATAAGAACAAGAATACACTAAGGATGTTGATCTACTTCTATTGGATTAAAACTTGAAGAAAAGATGCTGGAAAATGGTCTAAAACTAAGAGATCCTTGGGTTAGACTAAATTAAAGGATGCTTGAAGAACAAAGAGTTTGAAAGACAAATGATTTGTGTTGAAGGACAAGCCTTTGGACTTCAATAATGCCTTCAAAATTGGAATTTATAGCCTCCTTAATTGCTCTCACTCAATAAAATATTAAATTTGAACCATCTCTCCATCCGGAGTGAAAAATCTCAACAATCCCAATTTTCTCTCCTTCATGCACTTTGTTGGTTAGCCAAAAATAGGAAAAATGCAAGTTGAATCCAACAAAAATCCACTAGATGAAATCCCTATAAAATTAGCCCCATCTTTCTCCATTTGACTAAATCAACCTCATTGTAAATTAATGTTCAAATCTCCAACCTTCTTGAAGAATAAAAATTTGACTTAGAATACCAACCCATAAGATTTAAATAGATAGAGTCTAAAAATACTTGGATTGTACTTTCCTTTAGGCCATATGATTCCTTTTAACCCCACAAACTCTCTACTATCAAATCCACTTCCAAAATAAATAAAGTTGGACTCCCCTCCTTGGGTTTAATTAATAAAAATGTTAAAAATTTCATCCTAGTAAAAATAATTCATACTAGCTCATGGCAAATATAAAATGAACTCCACTATACTAGATCACAACTAAATAATTCATAATAAATCATAAAAAATTAATGACCACTCAATTTTTATAAGAACACGTATCATCATCTCAAGAAATTGCTAATTGTGGTGTAAACAATAACACAATTGGAAATTAATCAATGACTTTTGGGAGTAGTATAAGCCATCGCATCCGGACCATGACTGCCTTAATGAATAAATATTGGTCTCATTAGGTAGGCTATGGACTTATAAAGCAGATCATAATAGTACTCAATTCTTTTGGGTTTAATAAGGCTCAAGCTTCAATCTACAATAGGGATTTTTAGAAATCAGAATCTCAGCAACCTAAACAACTTATCCCCAAACCGCCATGGTTGGGCGCTCGGAGATATGGAAGACAAAGGAGCGTTACAAGCAAGTGTCACATTAACGTCAAAGTTTTCATCTTTTTATTCTAACGTTCTTGCGTAAATAGATAGATGCTACATAATGGCACGCCGTATCTGCAGAAACTCACTCTCCCCAACCAACACTGAATTTCCCCACAAGCCCCCCGGTCTCCAATTCTCTTTCTCTTCTCTTCTTCTCTTCTTCTCTTCTTCTACACCTAAGAAATCTAAACCCTCCATTTCCATGCTCAATTTCTTGATCAATCAACACCAGTTTTCACTAGAAGCTACTTTGAAAGCCTCATCATTCATCGCAGTTCTGAAGAATCCTGAAAACTCTAATCCCATTCTCTCGTTTCTCAAAGATTGTGGTTTCTCCAAATCCCAAATCAAAGAAATCTTGAAAAAGAGGCCCAACATTCTGTGTTCCAATCTAGATAACACCATCAAACCCAAACTTGAAATTCTTCATGACCTTGGATTGTCCCAAGATGAAATTGCTTATATAGTGGTTGTTGATCCCCGGTTGTTTAATAGAAGCATGGATAATAAGCTTCCCCAACCATTTCAGTTTTGGAAAGTGTTTTTGGATTAAGTGTTGGTGTCTGCAAGGCCTTAAAGGTTTTTGCATGGTTTTTGAATCTAGATAATTAAGAGAAGAACATGATAGCCAATATAGAATTCCTTAGGGGATGTGGGATTAGTTCATCGAAACTTATTAATTTTGCTTACAGTTTTCTTAGAGTTCTCTTTAATAAGCCTGAAAGAATTAGGGAATTTGTTAAAAGGGTGAATGAATTGAGAGTTACTAGGGAGTCCAAGATGTATCTCTATGTTATTCGAATGTTGAGTTCAATGTCAATGGTAAATTTGGAAAACAAGTTGAAGCTGTTTAGGAGCTTGGATTTTCAAAGAATCAAATTCAATGTGCGTGTAGGAGGGCGGCTAATGTTTTTGCTTTATCTAAGACCAAGATTAAAGAGGTTAGTGAAATGTCAATTGTCTGAGTGAACATTGATTGTTCTTTAATATTTGACCACCCTAACTTGCTCATGTATAGTGTTAAGGGTGGACTGGAACCCGTTTTGTAGTTTATGAGATTCTAGAAAGTAGGAATTTGCTTTGAACAATATCTTTTTTTCTTTTTCTTTTTTTTTTTTGATCAGCCAATAAAGTAGTGTTATATATTGTAATAAAGGAGTACAAGGAGTACTCCAACTCTTTACATTAAATTATGTGAGAATATTCAAAATGACAATATCCTTCCCAAAGCATATTACAAACCTATCTCAATCCATTTAGCCTGCTTTGACATGCTTCCATAGGATTTTTAAACTAGAGATCCTTAGCTATATCTCTATCAAACTTAGCCCTCAACCAATTAAAGGATCTTAGCTTGATTAAGTTCACCACGTACTTTAGGGGTTCAGCACCTTCCTTAAAGATGAATTTGGTTTCTCCAAAGCCAGATAGACCATAGTATAGTAAACCAAATCACATACCATGCTATCTCAACTCTACTGTTTAAAACCATACCCATATGTTGTTGGAGATAGCCTCAGCCTTCATTTAACGGAGCAGAATGGAAACCCCACCACACACAACAAGATTGCCAAATCTTCCAGCTTGTCTCACACATGAAGAATAGGTGGTTAATAGATTCTTGGTTGTATTCGCAAAAAACACGAGAAATCATATCCAGTTCCCACAGTATCTCTTTTTTACAAATTATCTCCTATGGGATCCCTATTTTGGAGGGCTTTCCAAGCTAAAGCAAATACTTTCAATGGTACATTCTTATTCCATATTCTGATATACTATACCAGATTCAGTTGTCTTGTGTCATTTGATAATTCATTATATGCTAATTTTGTAATGTAACTGCCCTTCGAGTCGTGTCTGTATCTCCATTGATCCTGTTTCCCTTGTTTTAATTTTTTCTTTTTGTGTTGTTTAGTGAGTTCTTGCAAAACAGTGAAATCACGTACTAGCAGCTCCTTATTCCATCTCCACTTCCAAACCCAGTCTCCTTCCCTCCAATCCCCCATATCATTTATTAACACATCCTTATCCTTCAACAGTCTATATAATCTATTAAATTTCTCCCTCAAAATTATATCTCCACACCATTCTTCATGCCAAAAGAATGTCTCATTCCCTTCCTCGATAACCTTTTCTAATCCCTTTTGTATCCAATCCTCTTTAGAAGCTATTGCCCTATCAAGTTTCCACAATTCCTTCCACTAGTCTAAACCATTTGCTTTCACATCTCTTCCCTAGAGCCCTATCTTCTATTCACATAATACTTAGTTTCCACTACTCTATTCCATAATGCATTTTCTCTACTAACAATCGCCATCGCCATTTTCCTAGTAGCGCCAAATTAGACTTACCTAGATCTTTCACTCCAAGGCAACCTTCCTTCCTACTTTTATAGACTTTTTCCTAGCTAACCCAAGCAATCTTTCTATTAACCTCACTACCCCCCATAAAAATCTCTTTTGGATTACGGAAAGAGTTTTAAGTACCTTTTTGGGAGCTCTCAATGTTGAAAAGAAATATACTAAGGTACTTGATACGACAGCATTCAAGAGAACGATGCTACCATCGAAGGACAACAATTCACATTTCGAACTTGACAATTTCCTTCTCAAGCATTCAATCACAGGTGTCCAAGGAGAGTTCTTCTTCGGGTTAGCGCCAATAGGGATTCCCAAGTACTTAAATGGCATTTCACCCTTCATGCAATTGAGTTTCTCTGCCCATATACTGATCTCATATTCCTCAACGTTAATTCCATACAATGCACTCTTATAGTATTTCACCTTAAGTTCTAAGGATAGCTCAAAACATCTCAACACACATTTTATTGACCAAATATTTTGGTCTGAAGCCTCACAAAAGAAGATTGAGTCATCT